CTGGAGGAGGGTTTGCTGAGCCTGATTAGAAGACCCTTGTCCTGCTCACTGTTATGATTCATTGTGGACTAAAGGCATTTTCTAGTCAAGCTGTAGAGTAAGAAAAAGGCACATCAAAATCAATTGATGCAAACAAATCCTCTTTCCTGAGTGGCAAAATTATCAGAGGCCATTTCAGATCTGAGTCTGTCAATAAAACCATTCCTTGGCTACGTCTGTGCAAGTGAAATAAGCAGGGCAAGGATACCAGCTCTATCGTTTGATCATCCATGCTGTTTAATTGCTAATGTTCTCCCTGGCATAGTTTTGAGCTCGGTCCCAGACAATGCCTGGGCACAGCTGGGGGACAGCACAGGCCAGGGACTGTTCTCAGGAGGCAGTGAGCATTCTTTGTTTTGGGGAGTGAAGACAGTTTAATCATATAAGCATAAACAGTGCTGGACCACTTGCCCATAGGAACAGAGAAGGGGCATGGATGTAGCTTGTAAGTTCAAACGAGGTCCACAGCTCTGGGTTTTCTTTGACAACAGGGAATAGTGGCTATGAATTCTTTACCCCATGAGAATCTCCTGCTAGAGCTGATTAAGCATCTATTTCCCACCAGACCAAGCTCTCACAGAGTGTCCCTAAAAAGAAAGGGGGTAGGTGGTCTTGCAGAGAACAGGCAGCTTAATTATTTAATCATGGGAGGCAGTGTCTGCTGTCTAATAGTCTAATGTTATTTTCTCATGGGCAGTGTACACATGAAAAAACTCAGAGCCACAAGTAAGAAGGGAAGAAGAAGAATGGGATGGTCAGATGAAGTCTTGAAATCCCCCAAAGCCAAGAAACTGGGAGTACTCCAAACTAAGCATACGAATTTATGAGGAACTTAGTGTAGTAGACGTTGGTCTATCTGACCAGCAATTTTTTAGATTGCTGATGAGAAGAAAGAGGAGCCAAGCTCTAATCCTTAACTGTGCTCCTGAGGATGTGCTCAGCACTACAAAAGTCTCTAAATACTTCAGAAGACCAGGAGTCCTTGAGGCATTTTGAGCAATGCAAAATGAGATGACTTCCAGATATTATAGGGGAGTCACAACCCAAGAGCACCTTTTCCTTTCCACTCTGAGGCAGAACAGGGAAGAGGCGACTGAAAATGAGGGACTTGTGGTTCAAGCCAAAACAAAATGAGGGACTTGTGGTTCAAGCCAAAACAAAGAGATGCCCCAAGAAGTTATCTTTTGAGCTCTTTATGAGCTCTATGCATAACACCTTTACAGGTTGAATATTTTCTGGGTATATGGTTTACTGGTTGACAAACAAACACAGAAATGCTAACTCAACAGCAGGATATGTACCTTGGACAATGTAAAGCTGGTGCGTGTGTGTAGCACCTAAATCCATAAAGGTGCAACAAACATTCAACAAAATACGAATAAAAAAAAGCTGCAGAAGATGTATTATCTTGCTCCTATAAGGCCAGAAAAAAAAGGAAAATAAATGTAAGTGAAGAAAAACCACACCCCAAATTTGAAAGGGTAACCCACAATGCAAGTGAGAAAATAATCTGGAGGAGCATGTTCAGATTTAGCCATAAGGAAAACTGGGAAGCTGGGTATGCTCTGCTCTTTTTTATACCACACATGCAGTATTTTGAGGAGGGTGTGGGACTGTGCCCTCGGGCACCCACAGCATGTCTGCTTATCACTTCAAGGACAACAGACTTTGTTCCTAAATGCGGTTATTGGGAATTCTATCATTCAGTGAAATTACAGCAGGACTGAATTTGGCTTGAAGCATTATTATGTAGCCTTGAAAATGTTCTCTTCATAGAGTCAGAAATGGCCAAAAATCCAGGAAATCTTGTTAAGAATTAATACTGGAAACAGCATTGATGTCACTTACACACGTGGCATGCTGGGTACCTCGAAGCATATTTAGAGCAGGCAGTAAACAATGGCAAAACAGGGGAAGTAGGATTTTGCCTGCCTTTTGAAGACTGTTAGCTGTATTTGCTTTTATATTGCGATGTATGTGTATACAGCACTCTGCCAAGCAAGATACACTTTTTATTGACCTACTTGTGTTCCAATGTATTGCTAGTGACAGCTGTTGTCAATGATCTGGAGAAAATAAATTGAGAATAAAGCAAAGAGACACGACACTGATTGGTCAAAAAAATTAGTTGTTGTTTTAAATCAAATATAAGGGATTTAGTCTCTTAAAAACTATAGATTCTGATTAAAATGAAGACTTTAAAGCCATGGCTGGATTACAGTAATTCAGAACTTCATGGATTATGAGAGAAATACTTCATAGGCATCATTTTGGACAAATGCTGCCATTAGGATTACTACGTAATTTTAGACCTACTGTATTGCATTTCTTCAAATCCTCTGCTGTGGTACTATATGAATTTGAAAGACACTGACTGCCATGTTTAATTTGATCCTTCTAACATGCGAGTCAAATTTGTTGACATTTAACATTTGCAGCCAGTCTAATCTGCTACATTTCAGTGACTTCTCTGCACAGTAATTTCAGAATCAATGTCTAGTGTAGCTGGTATTCTGGTGGTGTTTCCTAGATACAGGTTGTGGATGAGAGTTGTAGTACACGAAAATCTCCCTCCTCTAGTTAGCACAACAGGTATTTAACTGTTTCTGGTTTTTAAGGGCAAATTAACACATATTTGATTCTGTGTTTTATCTTAGTTGGCTTTTTAGATTGCTTTTTTTAATAGGCCACAAGTTGCTTGGGGACATTCTACGTGGAAGGCACTATCCATGAACAGTTTTATTGTATCTGTCTCTGAAAAGGTGAAACAGTTTTATTGAAGATGCCTGCCAGAGAAATCACATGTATCACTAATGGAGAAAGCAAGTGATAAAAGCCTCTTAGATGATAGAGATGGTGAAAAAAACAGTTTTCCTATGACAGTATTCTAGGGGAAAAATGAAACAAACCAGTCCCCCTGTTTTTTGTCAGCATCTTGAGGGAAAATCTGATGAAGATATAATAGTTCTATTGTAGCTGTTTCTGACTGTGGTTTTTTCTAATCCAAACAGATGAGCACGTCCTACAATTTTGACTTTTATCAGGCACACTAATACCTTTCTGCCTTATATGTACATGTATAAACTGCAGAAGAATTGAACAGTTGCAAGTAAATTATAGATTATAAAGTATTCTAAGAGATATGAAGAGTTAGGTAGTACTTCCGAACAGTTTCAAATTTCCTCAGTGGAGATTGTTGAATAAATACACTGGAAGAGTTAAAAAATAACATGGAGGGAAGTGGAGAAAGAGGGAAAATAGGAATATATATATATGTACAGGGAGGAGTTTTCTCCAAAAGGGGCAGAAAAATTGATTACATTTATTCAACTTACATCTCCTTATGGCTGCCAGGAATACACACAGACATTAATCTCATCAGTCTTTTCTTGACAAACAAAACAGTTACGTCCTTTTGAAGTCTATGGGAATTATTTATGCCTTATAGTAGGAAACCTGGATTCTCTATATGAGAGGCTGCTGTCCCTCTAGTTGTCCCTGAGAGCAGGTGGTGTGAATAAACATTATAATTATTACAATTATTATTATTGTTAAATTCCAGTTCTGGTAAGAAGCAGCTCCTGAGGAAACAGGGCTGTTTTCCCAGGGTTTCCCTTGGTATAAAAGAGTTAGCGATGTTGTATGTGAAAGTCTGGGAGTACGAAAGGCGCGTCAAGGTCACACAGCTTACAGAGCTGTATTTGCTCCAGGCAGTCTGAGGCATAGCTTCAACAGAACCTCTTCTACACTAGAAAAATCAGTATTTTCAGGCCAGAAAATTGCAAGTCAAAAAGAATCTGGATTTTCTAGATACTAGGATTTCAACCTTCAGTTTCATCTTTATACCTCATCTAAATAATACCACAACCTAAATGACCCTGGGAAACGAACCAGCAATTTTAATTTACCAAAAAGAAAAGAAAGACAATTACAGGCTGAAATTCTTTTCAGAGGAGGAGAGCAGGGGATGTTTGAAGGATGTAGTGGAGGAGGGGAGGGCCAGGTATCCCTCCAGGTACTCATGCCACCCACTGTTGCTTCCTACTCACCCTGCCTTTGTGATACCATTTTCTGAGCAGCACTAGCAATGACAGCAGCAGCTGTCAAGGCTCAGGGATGCAAGGCTGCCATGTGTCCTCTCCCCTTGTTCCAAAGAGTGCACAAGAAGGGTGCCCCTGTCACCCTGCCTTGCTATGGTTCTGTATGTATTAAGTCTGATGTGTGCATAATTAATGCCAGAGCCTCAAGGGTACTAATAAAGCCTTAATGGCCCTGTCCTGCCTCATGTGGGGCCTCCCCTCTCTGCCCATGGGCTGAAGAAATCTATTTAAGCTCAGGTCTGGGCCTTCACTCCCTGTCCAACTCATTTTAAGTGTGCCTGTCTTCAGCCCTTTCACAGCCATGCTTGTGCCTGGCCATGGCCCTTGTTGATCTGGACCCTGACCTGGAGACCATCTTCCTGGCTGGACTTCAGACCTGCCTCATCACTACGCACACCTGGCAGTCACTGGGCTGTGTCTGACCCTCACCGGACCTGATCCTGACCTGACTTCCTGGCCTGACCTTGGACCTGCCTCATCACCATGGACTTGCCTGAGGATCTAGGCTCTTGGTTGAACCTGACTCCACCTTTGGGCCTGCCCTGCTCACCTTGCTTGGGTGTTGTGGGACTGGACCCCTGGCTGGCACGGCCCCCACCCTGCCAGCTGTGTTCTGCCCCTTGGCTCCTGGCTCCCCGTCCTTTAGGGAACAGCCAGTCCTTACTTCTCCCTGATGATTAGAGGCTTAATTTATTATGAAAAATTAGAGTTTATATAGTATGTCTCATTCATTTCTCGATGTACAGTATTAATATAATACTTCTGACCATGTCTCAGTTCCTGTTGGACAAATTGCATTTTTCTCTCTTTAAACGGAGAAAATGACATTGTTTTCTTTGTTTTAAAGTCATCTGTACTTACATATCATCGAAGATAAGCTTTGTCCTTCTGCAGTCCCTGGGTGTGCTGGACAGAGGTGACCAAGGCTCTGTTTGGGACTGGGGCTTATTGCAGAGAAGAACATTTTCTGAATTCATGTGAATTGCTTTCTAGACAACGAACAGCAGAGAAGACATTGAGGAATTGGCTACTAACTTCAAAAAAGCAACTAATAAACAACAGAGCGTCTTTGCATTGCATTGTAAATTGGCAGTTAGCTTTCCTACTATTTCAGCAGGGAGTATGTATAACTGTCCTGTCACTGATAGCCACAAATTTACAGATATTGCTCAGAGCACTTTCTAAAGGGCTCGAGTTTCAATGTGATATACGGAAGAAATGGAGCTGAACTATTAGTAGCTATCAAAACACGCTGAAACACAGTAAGTGAAATTTTTAAATAATAGATCTGTTGTGGTCATTTAGAAGATCAAGTTATATCTCTAGTCTTCAGCTGCCAAACTAGCATTGTACCTTGCCTCAGGAGAGCAAGGCTCACTTGTTTGTCTTGTTTCACGCTGCACTGCTGATGTGCCTATGCGGTATGAATTTGTAGCCCAAGGTCCAGGTTTCTTTCTGCTCTGGGCCCCTGATCAGCTTGAAAGATCACTGCTCTGTGCCACAGTGGAAGCTCATGTCTTTTGGCAGGGTCTCACGCGTTCCCTCAGCTGCAGCCCTGTTCTTCATGTGGCCTCATGAGCCATTCGTCCCACTGAGTGACCTCCTGTGTGGGCTACCATGTGCTGGTACAGTGCAAAGCAGAGGGCCCCAGGTTGTTTTTAGTTGATAACCACTGCCAGAAAACACTCTTCTTTCTCTGTCGGGTGACAGACAGAAACGCAATAGGGAAATGGACAAAAAGCTCAAATGGATAAAAGCCACTCCCTGGCTTGTGGTCTCTGACAGAATTTCAAAGGACCACTTGGGCGTGCCAGTTAGATGCCAGATGGGAAGTTGGGATAAAACAAAGCTAACTTTAACATTTGTAGTTCGTGAGCTCTCATCTTCTATATGGCACATCCAGATCAGTTCAGCTTTTTTTTAAGTTTTCAGATGAATAACCAGATACATAAGAATTTTATTGCAAAGGTTGTTAAAATGTTGACCAAATGGTGCATTGCTAGGCTATGCAGAAAATCTCAGTGAAATGCATTTGCTAAGGGTGTGGATCATAAAGCAATCACCTTTTACTTTTGATTTCCAGCACATTTGCCTGTGAAGGAATTTAAATTGTTTTCAAGATATCCAGTGAAGAATCATATCATTATAATTCTGAATGGGTTATAAACCTCTAAACTTATGTTTTAGAAGTTAAAATGTTTAAAAATTTACATTTAATCCATGAAAAAATAAATTAATTACTATGATATGTTAAAATGCCTTTTTATTGAAATATTTTTATGTAATTAATTTTATTTCAATTTACCAAAAGCATCTGCGAGATATTCTTGAAACACACAATTTGTGACAACTTGGTTTTTAAAAAGTGTCCAAAATTAAGATTATAGTTACTACTTCCCCCTCCACTCTCAAAAAATAAATATCTTTAAGTATATACATGTATACTTAATATATACTGTGGGGCCAGTTATCCCCACAGCAAAAGTAGCTGGAAGAGACCACTGCTACAACTCAGGTGGTTTGTTTTCCTGAAAGTTGCTTGAGCACTAATACTTAGGCTTTTGAAGCCTCTTATGTATCAAATAACAAATACAACAAATAGATATAGGATAAAATATATAAACAGGTTTTGTAGCAAGGAGAGGAGCATGGGCCTTTCTAGCAGCAGCAGAGTGCCCTAACAGCTTGACTAGATGCTCCAGCAGTGGACATCAATATGATGGTACCCAAATTGCTTCTAGGTATTTCACACAAAGCAGAACAGCTTCAAGGGGAGGATGTGACAATATTCTGCCCTTGATCTTCTACCGGCAGCGTCCTGCAGGCTGGAGGGTAGGGTATGATTTTGAGAGGTGAGAGAGAGAGATATGTGAATTCCCTCAATCAGAAGAGCTAACAGGCTCTTTACTCCAGCATCCTAATTGCAGAACTCATGCATAAATGGGGGCAGCATCCGCTCCTGCCTCTCTGTGCTCTGAAGGCAGTAGCTACCATGCGGTGCAGTAATACAGCCTTATCTGGAAGGGGGCTCTGGACACATTTAGTGTGACCACGACTCTCTCATAGGTATCTGAATACCTGGGCTCTGATGGAGCTGAGTCGTGAGGCTGGTGCTAAGCTGTTCATCGGTGTCAAGAGTAAGTAGAAACGTCTGAGAAAGTTGGTTGTAAGACATGTAGGAGAACTTGTCTGCAGGCACACTCATGGTTAGGCAGCGGCTGAGTAGAGGCCTTATACAGCAGAGGCCTTATGCACCATACTTTTGGATGTAGGGGGCTTGCATCATGCCCAAGCAATACTCTGGAGGCCTAAATCCATTTGTTTTGGGCCATTAGCTTTTACCTCTTGCTTACGTAGCCTTTGGTATTTGCCTACTTTACAGCCTGCCCTCTTTACTCTCTTCTGTGCCTTGATAAACTCCAAATCAGAAAAACTGAACTTACAATAAAACATTCATTATTACAATTTTTTTGCATAACATTCTGCAAAACTATCACAGACTGCAATACAAAGTGAAAAATACACAGCTAGGCTTTATATTGTGAACAAGAGCATAAACTTACATTGAAGTCTCCGGGATGTGGCTGTGACTGGATTTCACCCTTATGTTTTTTGCTGGAGGAGATGGAAGGTAATAGACTGCTGCCATTAGGTCTGCTGGAGGAAGTTAAATCATCGTTGGAGTATTTGTGTTTTGATGCATCAGAGAGGGGAGAGACGGGTGACCGAAGCATTTTCTCATTTTTATTTATTGGTATTGCCAAGCTGGAAATGGAAATTACAGTAATGGAGTGTCACAAAGCTGGCTTTGAGAAAGGTAAATGTTTTATATATTACCAAAACTTTGAATTTAAAACCTGCTGGCAGGATAAAGTCTATTGGTATCTGGAAACAAGCTTACAGTATTGGGACCAAGAGTTCATTTACAAATTTGTATCATGTTTC